CCCCAAAACCCCAAAACCCCAAAACCCCAAAACCCCTAAATTAAACTTTTTAATTGATAATAAATCAAATGCAACTGTGGAAAGATGTTGACAAAGGAGAGTACTATAAAATCGATATCTACAAAGGAGGACAACATAAATGCCTCCAAAATGGCACACATTTGAAAAAATTCTTCCCAGAAGTTACTGGGACGCTCAACTTTGAGCAAAGAGCAAATGTTTCTCATATTGATAGGAACGAAATCCTTCCTAAATTAAATTCAGTAGAAAATATTACTTACAAACCCAATTTGAGCAAGCTTCATGGATATAGTCAAATGCCCAATATGCTTGTAAGACTCTCTTTGTTTGATCCAAAATTATTGTTAAAAATCTGTTTCCTTGCAAAAATGAAACTGACATAAAATTACAGATAAATAAGAATTCCTCCACAGCAACCAATACTGCATCCTTTCTCCTTTCAAAATGGAACAAAAGCAATTTTAACAAAAAGAGAGGTAAGGCTTGAGGGTGTAAATTTGTATCAGAGTCAAATAAACTTATTCTAACTTGACTTACAGCATGTAAATAAAGCTAACAGGAGATCAATGGTGCATTATGCTCCCGACCTCAATAAGGATCATGATCTGAAACTTAAGAATCCCAACACAGGTGCTTAAATTTGATAATAACTTTAGTTTTAGAGCATACTTTTCAGTCCCAGCAAAAGAAAATTGGTCCGATACATACAACTCAGGAAGGAATATTTCCCATAAAAACTACTCAGGCTAAGAACAACAATATTCTGTCTTCTTATATAAATGATGGAATCAGTTTGAAAGACCAATCAGTGCCTTATAAGAAAAGAAGAACCTCGATGATGAAAGATCTCTCTTCGGTCATGAAGCCTTCCTCTGGTACAGTATTTAACAGATATAAATAAACGGAAATCTCTTGTTGAAAAAGTCAAAGATGGTAGATTAAAATGTTGACTCCCTAGAAACTCTTCAGGCAAGTCATCTCAAAAATATGAGAGAAATAATGAACAATTCAATCTCAGATTTTGGGTCTCCAAATGACATCAACCCAGCTGAAACTGAAATAGAAGAGGAATCAGACCTTGAGAAATCTCAGAGGTTGAGTGTTGAAAAGCTTAAGAAAAGGATGGGCTTGGATAAATAAAGTAATTAACCCACTTCAGTATAGATATATTCCACTGAGATTGATCTCCATGCAAAAACTACAAAGGCAAGAGCCAGTAGAAAGTTTCCTATTTACATCAAGACAGAAGGAGAGAGGTGCAAAATGGATAAATAACAGGCTATTCCAGGCAAACCCGAGAGCCAGCCTCGAAATGGCTAGGAGAAAAGAAGTTGATATACAGATGCTGATTAAAAGAAGATGTCAAAGGATACTCAAGATACAAACAACTGAAGCCACTAGGAATAAGTAAAGATATTATTTTACCATATTTCCAATAAAATTCTAATGTTTAGGGGTTTTGGGGTTTTGGGGTTTTGGGGTTTTGGGG